GGGGGAAACCTCCAAAAAAATTACAAATTTAAAAATGACTAATTTTCGAAATTTTTAAATTTTTTTTACTAAAACCTGCCGTAACTTTTTTAAATAAACATATCAATATAATTATTTTTTATATAGATGCATAATATCATTACCTTTCATTTGGTATTTTTTTTTCATAAATTTAACCCTTAACCTGCCCACAAGGGGGGATTTAAAATGACAACTTTTTCACAAAAAATTAATTTTTTTAACTTAAATTTTGAAAATGTTCCGGAAGGTCTGACACTTTTATATATATCTTAAATTAAAGCTAATGTAATATGCTTTATCATGAAAAAAAAAAATTTCGGACTTTATCTTATCTTCATGGTGAAAATGGCTACCGAATGCTATTTTTGTGTGAAAATTTTCGATTTTGTATTTTCCATTTTTAACTTTATTATGCTATAACTTTTTGAAAAATGTATGAATCATTACAATTTTTTTATGAGAAGTAGTATTTATATAGATCTTTCATTCGACATACTGTTTTTTTAAATCGGACCATTTCCCTAAATACAGGGGGGATTCAAAACATAAAAATGCATATAGAAAGTAGAACTTTTTCAACGTAACTTTTGAAAGTGTTCCGGAAGGTCTGACACTTTTATATATATCTTAAATTAAAGCTAATGTAATATACTTTATAATGGTAAAAAAAAATTTCGGACTTTATTTTATCTTCATGGTGAAAACAGACATTAAACTTAATAAAAAAAATACGATTTTTGTAAAAAAATTCTTTTTTATATTTTTAACTTTATAATGCTATAACTTCTCGAAAGATGTATGGATCAATATAATTCTTTTTTTTGTAGATGCATGATGTCTTTACCTATCATTTGGTATATTTTTTTTATAAATCTGACTTTTTACCTGCCTACAGGGGGGGATTCAAAATGACAACTTTTTCACAAAAAATTGACTTTTTCAACTTAAATTTTGAAAGTGTTCCGGAAAGTCTGACACTTTTATATATATCTTAAATTAAAGCTAATGTAATATACTTTATCATGGAAAAAAAAAATTTCGGACTTTATTTTATCTTCAAGGTGAAAATGGCTACCAAATGCTATTATTGTGTGAAAATTCTCAATTTTATTTTTTACATTTTTAACATTATAATGCTATAACTTATTGAAAAGTGTATTGATCAATATAATTTTTTTATGGGAAATACTATTTTCTAATAATCTCTTTTTTATTCGACATACTTTGTCTTAATCAGGATATTAATAAGGAACTAGCAGTTTATGAAGCTTTTGGAATAATCCACCAATTTTTTAAAATTAAACACTATCTAAAGATTTGCATCGAAGCGTTTTTTTTTGATAGTGATTTTAATCACTGTCAGATATCATTATACTTGATCCAACTATGCGACGTCACCACTGTGCCACGACCCCCCTGTGCTGGGTTTTTTTTTTTTTGTGTCTGTTACCATTTTTTCTCACCTCTCACCGAATCGATTTCTTTCACCGATACGGCAAAAGATCACAAATTTTATCTAATCGAAGTCAATATCCTCAAAAATTGAAAACATTTTCCAAATCTCCAAAAAAATTACAAATTTAAAAATCGCTAATTTTTTAAATTGTTTCTATTTTTTTTACTTAAAACTGCCATAACTTTTTCAAAAATAATCAAATAAATAGAAATTTTTTTTTATAAATGCTGATGTCTTTACCTATCATTTGGTATATTTTTTTTATAAATCTGATCCTTTACCTGCCCACAGGGGGAATTCAAAATGACAACTTTTTCACAAAAAAATAACTTCTTCAATTTAACTTTTGAAAGAATTCCAGAAATATAGACACATTTATATATACCTTAAATTAAAGCTTATGTAATATACTTATGTAAAAATTTCGGACTTTATTTTGTCTTCATGGTGAAAATGCCCATCGTATTCTATTTTTATGTTAAAATTCTCTATTTTATATGATAAATTTTTAACTTTATATTACTATATCTTTTTTAAAAAAGTATGGATCAATAGAATTTTTGTAAGATAAGTACTATTTATATTCTTCTTTTATGCGTCTTATTTATTTTTTATATCGGACCATTACCCTTTATATAATTATTCATATATTACACTTATAAATCATAAAACTTGTAATCAGGATATAAATAAGGAAATATAAGATCATGTAAAATGTAAAATGTAAAATGTTTAAAATAATCCACCAAATTTTTTAAATTAAACACTATCTACTGATTTGCATCGAAACGTTTTATGATAGTGATTTTAATCACTGTTAGATAATATTATACTTGACCCAACTATGCCACGTCCCCACTGTGCCAAGACCCCTACTCTGCTGGGTTTGTTAGTTTTAAATTAATAATATTTTTAATATAGTTTTAATTTTAAGTAATATTATTCACAAGTGATCAATTTTTATTATATATTAGAGCAATTAAATATAATATGAAATTGATATTTAATAATCTGTTATTAAAATTATAAAAAAATATTAACTAGTTGTTATGTTATGGTAAACTTGTATAAAAATGGAAGTGCTTGGTACAAAACATTTCAGAAAATAATTTAT